TCTCTCTCTCTCTCTCTCTCTGTGTGTGTGTGTGGAGGTGGGAGAGAGAGAGAGAGAGAGAGAGAGAGAGAGAGAGAGAGAGAGAGAGAGAGAGAGAGAGAGAGAGAGAGAGAGGATGAAAATGAATAACCGCTACCTCTAGCACAAACGTGAGCATGGGGTCATATGCAGATACCGTTTTCCTTTTCTTTTTTCTTTCTCTCGTTTGGCCACCCCATTTTTTGTTGATGCTGTTTTTTCCTGACCAGTCTGACCAGAGGATTAAACGCAATCTCAATCTCAGTAACCGCGGCTATGCGGGGCTAAGTTTTTTCCCGGAAATTGAGGCCCTGTCCAATCATCCAATTTTGTTTTGTTCAGTAGCGCTAGCTTAATTCAAATTTCGTCACTTTCTAGTACCCATCGGCGCCGCCTGCTTGACGAAGCTTGCGAGAAGCTACAGTCGGTTCAAAGGACCGTATCAGTCCCGTGCTAATAGGCACTATTCATAGCAATTGTCTGTGGCGTTGGTAAACGTGCCAGAGTGGTACTGCGCTAACATGTGACGGATGTGCGCTGTGTGTGGGAGTGGGAGGGAGGGAGGCGATATCGACTTCTTCGTTGATTGGGACCATGCAGAGGACCAGCGGGATGTGCGCTGTGTGTGGGAGTGGGAGGGAGGGAGGCGATATCGACTTCTTCGTTGAAGAGGACCATGCAGAGGACCTGCTGGGCACTGTGCACTCTGAGCCGCTACTTCCCCACTACCGCTGCTTGCCACGCTTGCGCTGCTATTCCTCCTTACCCTACTCTCGAACTTGCCATCGCCAGCTTCCTCTTCACTGTGCGCGTCTCCGAGAGGGTGTACCTCAACACTTCTTCACATGGCCTTGCGCTGCTTCTCGGGGTCACCGTCGGCTGGTGCTGTAGGTTTTTCCCCTTGGTTGCGGCGCTCTGGGAAGACGGCGGGCACACTCTGAACAAAGGACCTCGGTGATGGAAACGAGGATGGCCATGGGGGCGGCGGTGTCATGCGCCTTACTTGCCTTGCTCTCCTCTCTCTCATTTTTTTCCTTCCTCTACTTCATTTACTCCCTCCCCTGTCCTAACCATCTTCATGACTTCCCCTTCCCCTCCTCTCCCAACTCTCTTGCCTCTCCTGCCTCCCCCTCCCCCTTCCCCTCACCTTCCAGGACCGTGGATGATGTCCCTCCCTCTGATGACGCCCCGTGTGCGGCTTGATGATCCGTGCAGATGCAGGAGCACTTTGGGTCTGGAGGAAATAGCTGAGGCAGGATTCCACTTCTCTCCTCCTATTCCCTCACATTCTTTCCTTTTCCCCTTCTCTTCTTCCCCTTCCAACCTTCTCCCCTCCCTCCCTCCTCTTCTCCTTCCCCCTCCTCCCCTCCTCTTCTCCTTTCCCCTCCCCTCCCCTCCTTTCCTGGGTGCACTTATAGTTGGACTGTTGAGGCCTTTCGGCAAGGGCAAGTTCAGACTTGCAGGAGTTCGCAGCCCGTCAGGGTTACGTTTTCCCCCCCTGAGACATTTTCGTGGTCGTTCGTTATACCGGTCGTTCATTCGGGGCCATTGGTCGTTCAAAGGCTGGTATAATGAAAGGCACTGGCATTTAGGGGGGGGAGCGCAGTTCAAGCAAATGCAGGACCGGTATTTGCCCGTGGCATTTTCCTGGGAACCGGCAGGTGGCCGTGGTCTAAAATATTTTGAAACAGCGTGGGGGCCGCAGGTCCTTGAAATTCAAATATAAAACGGCGTGGACCCAGGCCTACAGCCTCATGCCCAGCCCACCCACTTCGGCCCGATCGGCCTGGATGATTTTGTCTGAATCTGGAAGCAGTTCTGAGTCAGATTCAGAAACAGAGATGTTCTCTCTCTCTCTCTCTCTCTCTCTCTCTCTCACACACACACACACACACACACACACACACACACACACACAGGGCCTCGCCACAGCCAAAACGAAACAAACTACGGGCTGCGTACCCGTGCCCTCACGGTAAGTCAATGATATTCTGCTGGTCACTTTGTTTGGAATCTACTGATTTGCCTTGTGTTGGATCTCCTCTCACCACTATGAAGGGAGTGCTGGAGTGCTTTGGTCTCTGTTTCTCTCACTCTTTCTCTCTACTACCCCTCCCTCCGAATATGCATCTTTCCTAGGCTACCAGCCGGGCCGTCCGGGTCACCCTGTTTTCCCGGGCGGCCCAGTCGTGCAAGGACCAAGGAAGGTCCCAGGCCCAAAAAAAAAAAAAAAAAACTTCAAAAAATCCGAAAAAGAACTATGTTATGCAGAAAAAAAAACTGAACAACTTTTGCCTCAGGGTCACATCGAAATTCTTTACCAAATTTAACATTAAAAATTAGGGGTCACATCGAAATTCTTTACCAAATTTAACATTAAAAATTAAATTAAAAAAAAAAAAAATATTATTTTATTCCTTTTTGGCCCGGCCGGGCAAGTGGACCCGGGCCACTCTGGTAGCCTGCATCTTTCCTATTTAGCTCAAGCATCTTTCTGAACGTGTGAAAAATGCTTCTCATGTGATCAGCTCGCCATGCGTAGACGCGATCTGATAAAGCAAAGAGTCGTGGATCGATTGCTTAATCATCTCACATATCAGTTGCTTATTCATCTACTCCTATTATTTCTCTGTTGTGAATGCTTGGAGTACTCACATTCATCCACGCCTTACTCTTCTCGGGTGATCAACTCAGCGCAGACAGCAGGACTGGATAAGACGCGGAAATAAGGGCTCGATAATTGGCTTGTTCAATTACTTGTTTTCATATAGGGGAACCCACATATCCTGAATGATCAGCGTACCGCACTTACGGCCACCTGGTTAGACAGAAATGGGAAATCATCTGCCCACTGTCCCCTATTATTATAATATCGTTTCCTTGCAATTCTCAGAGGATCTGATGCCCTATGATAAATGGGATGCTTCGTCTTTTCTCTCTCGCAGCCTGCATCTTTCCTCTTTGCGATCAGGAATAGTTGAGGATCCGTCTGTGCGGAATTCGTGTCTCCAACATGCGCTTCTCGTATGATCAGCCTGCCATGTGTAACGTGACCTGATCAAGTGAGGAGTCTGTTGTAGGGGACCGTGGGAAGTACGGCTGGCGCACCCGGCTAGAGTGGCGAAGGGACGATGCGATCTCGCCCATCTTGTCGGTTGGGGGATTATTTATGCGATGTCCCCAAGTTGTCTCTCGGTTTGTTCTGTTTAACTCCTGCATGACATGGCCAGGAGGGCTCTCGCCTTTTGCGAAAAAGGCGCGAGCCGATGCGCTCGACAGGTGGCACGGATCAATTGCCCATTCATCATGTATGCCAGGGGTACTTACTTTTATAAACTCCTTACTCTTCTCGGCTGATCAACTCAGCGGAGCAAAGGAGAAGATGAGGATTCGACCTATTATTGGTTTGCTCATTTGTGTTTTGGGTTTCGTATGTGGTGCCCCCCAAAGGCAACCTATATTTCCCGGATGGCCGTTTGCCCGACTTAACGCCATCTGATCAAGCGGGGAATTGGAGTCGCCTACCTGTTTGATCCCAATCAATGCCTTGAATTCCTCGGAGGATCAAGTTGCCGTTCGAGGGGAACACAGGATCAATTCATGTTTCTTCTCACTTCTTGTTTTTTTTTTTTTTGTTTCCTTCCTTTTTTTTTTAAAAACAAAAACCAATACACTGCCCCTTCTATTCTGGGGGGCGTCAGTCCGGTTGCTTAATACCAGCAAGCATGGAAACGAAGAGCAAGGATGAAAGAAGAATAGGCACTTCTTCATTTTTCATGTTTCATTTTCATTTTTACTAGATGACCTGTTGCAGATTCGCTCGCAAAAACAAATATGATGGGTGATGGATTCATGATGTAGGCAACTGACCAATGCAATCTCTCTCTCTCTCTCTCTCTCTCTCTCCCCCCCCCACTCCCGCATGCATGACTGCTGATCTTTCGGGAGCCTATCTCTATCTCCCTTCCCTCCCCTCCTCTCTCTCTCTCTCTCTCTCTCTCTC